ATTTCCGTGAGTTTTAACGTATTTTCACTCAAGCGAGAGTCAATCTCACTTTCACCCTCGAACGCGCCTTCACATCCAACATATAAATATATAACTATATAAATATATATAAATATATCAAAATATATAAATATATTTGTATTTATATATTCTATATTTATATATTTACACGAATATATATTTATATGTATATAAATATAATTTATTTGTAAATTATTATAAAAAAATTATAGTAGTTTAGTGGTTGGAGTATCAATTTTCAACTCTAAAATACTGGGTTCAAATCTTGTTAGTAACAATTCTCTAACTTAAGTAAATTTTTGGTTGAAAAAAAAATAAAAACACTTTCCGGAAAATATATATAAATAAATATATATTTACACGGATATATATTTATTTGTATATAAATATAATTAATTTGTAAGTTATTATCGAGAAAATTACAGTAGTTTAGTGGTTGGAGTATCAACTTTCAACTCTAAAATACTCGGGTTCGAATCTGTTAGTGACAATTCTTGAATTTAAGAGAATTTTTGGGTGAAAACACATTCAACGTCGGTTCATCTAGAACCGACGTGGAAATTGCTTTCTACGTCGGTTGACTAAGAACCGACGTAGAATGTGTCCAACTTTCAACGTCGTTTTTTAACCAACCGACGTTGAAAGTGTATTTAACGTCGGCTCAGCTTTAACCGACGTTAAATGGCAACGTTGAAAGCATATAGTTAGGGTATACTTCCGGAAGGTGTCTTAGTGTGTTGATAATTTCGTAATTTATCATAATATATAATTATTACTTCTATATCTGTTTTATTATATCGAATGATTTAATACTTACCCATATTTTTCCATGTGGATGAGACTGCGATGATAACTTTTATGTGGGAGCAGATCGGGAGTTGAGAGATGGAAATGTGACTACTTGGACAACGAGGAATAGTTCAAGTGGGATAACTTCGAGGAGCTACTTTTACATGTATAATATATAAATAAATTATGTTACTATATTTTGAGGTTCCGTTAGTGAATCGGAATTTCAATCTATGTTACAATTACAAGTAATATAATGTAAAATAGATGTCGTTATTTACTTGTTTACTACTTTGCGAAGACATCATTATAATAGTGATTTCTAGGTTCGTTACAAGCCTAGTATGATCAACGGTGAAAACAATTCATCTATCCAATGTAATTTAGAGCAAATAAACATTGAACCTGATACATATTACGAAGCTATTAACTTTAATACTATTAAATGTACCCGAGGAAAGTTGTTTGTAATTAAATTATTTAGAAGATATTTATATTTCAATTGATCAATATTATATTATGTTATGTTTGTATCTAAAAAAAAATTAACAATTTGAATCAAACTTATCAATTATATTTGAATTTGTTCAAGTTGGATTCTTTAGTATATTAATAAAATAATACAAATTTATAGAAATACAGAAGTATGTGGCATAAAACTTCTGAAATTACATGTTTTATTTTATTTGAATTCGATTCCTTGTGCCTAACTAGTATCATTAAATTTGTACTTTAAAATTATTAATTTAAATATTCGTTGTTATGATATAAGATTTGACCAAAAACATAAGTTTTTTAATCCTTTAAAAATTTGGATCGGGTCAGTCTATTACAATAACTTATTATGGAAGTACAAGTATATTTTACAATTTTTTAGTAGCAGACAAAGAAAAACTTACATCACTAATAATATATTATATATGTCACTAGAATATCAAAAGAAAAAATAATAAATAAACCAAGGTAACTTTTAAAGAAAGTTTTTTTTAATACAATGTGATAATTTATAATAAGAAAAATAAGTTCATGTTTATTTGTTTTTATAATATTATTGCAATAATAAGTATTTTTTTATACATATACTAAATTAATTAACATCCTAGTGATCTTGCGTTTGATATTATATAAAGTAGAGTAAGTTTAAATTCTTTCTCGTGAGTTAAAACTGGTTTAGTAAGTGACACTCACAATATCACACGTAAAATTATTCTCAAATATAATGAATTTTCAAAATATGTGATATGATAAAATAAAAAATCATTCACCTAATACAGATAAAAATTTAAATTTATATTAAATTAAATTTGATTAATTTTAGACATACGAGAACTTAATTTGAACAACTAAAACTAGAATAACTAAACTAACTCATTTGGTAAATTACTAGTGTAGAAATAATAGGGTTGAACACTATGATGTAAAATATTTTTTTGAAAATAATTCATTTTTAAAAATCTAATATTATTTTGAATAAATAATGAAGTGAGTGATAGTAAATATATAATATACTTCAAATTTATGATATTCTTACACCTTTATAAAAATAATTTTAAGTTTATATTTTACTTTTTTTTTATATTATTTTAGTAAAGTATTATGAAGTTTGATTTAAATTTTTATTTTAAAGAGTGTGAATGTATTTAAGATTAAATGATACAAGAGAGTAGTTTATATATTGTAAAAAATTTCATATATTATTATTCTAAATTTTTATATAATGTTATTTTCTAGTTAATTAGATGATTATTATAATTTTCTTTTATTTTAGAGTTTTTAATGTTATATTATTACGTTAATTATCTTTTATCTTATGGGTATTGAATTTGAGAGGACAACTATGAATATGAGATGTTTTTAATTATTATAATATTATTTTATTTAAATTATTATTTTACATCTATGATATTTTTTTACATGTGCTATACCTACCCATGTTAGGTTTGAAGTTGAATTATAAAAGATTAATTGAGTTTATTTTAATGCTTTTGAATTAAATATAATGTATAATTAGGTATAAATATGTTAAATTATGAGATATGTTGCATGTTCGATTAGGTATATGATAAATTCTTGGGACTGTTATAAGGAGCTCCTCATCAAGATACATAGAGAGATAAAGAGACAAAGAGGGGTCGGAGACATAAAAATAATTACATTTAGAAAGAATAACAACAGACTTGGTATCAAAACTCGCGTTATCCTCACAAAGTATTATATATATAGACACTACTCTTGAAATACATTTATTTGTCAACTTTATTTGTTAGTACAATAACCATAAAATGTTTCAATCGAAATAAAAGTAATTAGATGATTGTTTTAAAAATAATTCTATACAGGAACAAAATTCTAAAATGAAAAAAGAAATATAAAATAAAAGGTAAGTAAAGAGATTTGCACTATAAAAAAAAATTATATATGTTTTATAATAAAAAAAATCAGAAGATATATATATATATATATATATATATATATATATATATATATATATATATTACCAAGTTCAATAAATAAAAAAAGTATAAATAACATGTTAATGTATATAAAGAAATTTATATTTTTTTCACCTTTAAAATTATTTTTTACTTATATAAATAAAAAATATTATTTATAAAATTATTCTCACTCGAATAAATGATGATTTATTTTTATGTTTATGATTTTAATTTTATTATATATATAATTATTATTTAATAAAATATTATAAATAAAAAAGTATTTATAAAATTAAATAAATAATTTAATATGTTTTTAATATCATATTATTTTATTAATTTAAACTCAAATATTTTTAAAAATATATATAATTTTATAATTATATTTTAAAATTTATATCATTAAAAAATAAAATATTAATTTAAAAAGTTTATATTAATATAAAATGAAATATTAATAAATAAATAAATGTTATTTTTAATTTAATTATTTATTGTTTTTAAATAACATTTTTTTTTCTTACCCTTCAGTTTTTTTTTTCACACATTTTTCTCTTGCCAGGGACGTTTAGTTTCACCCTTAAAACAATCATTTTACACTTATAATAAAGAAAATTAAAATTCGCCAAACCCTATCTATGAACTCTCCATTGTTTATTAGTGTTATTGTTGCTGTGTATGTGTATAAAGAAATAAAATATTCCAGCTTTTATTTGCTATTGTTTTATCACATTATTGAAAGGATATAGATAAATTAATCAGTGAAATAAATTATTCTATGTCGGTTGACGACTTCTCTTAGGATTCCCAAGTATTCAACATACAAAGATTTAAAATAAAATTATACAATTAAAAAATAGATAACGTTTTCTTACATTTTTAATTAAAATTTACATTTTATCTAAAGACTTTTAATATAACACCTTTTATAAATTATTTTTATGAAATCATATTATTAATTTTAGTGGCTGATTTTTTTAGAATTAAGAAATACTTTGTTATTTAAAATTTTGTAATTTTTATATATATTAATAATTTTATCTTCTAAATTTAATAATTATTAAATATATTTATTTATATATTTATAATTTTATTTTATTGATTTTTTATATATTTATATATTATTTATTAACAATATATTATTTTACGAATTATTAACATCCTACAATGTATTTATTATCTGAATGTTGTCAATAAAAAAAATGATTGATTATTTTTTTCAATCAAAATTCTCTTTCTAATTACATTTTTCATTCATAAAACTTTATTTTAAAAACAAGTCTTTAAATTAACTATTTATTGAAGTATTTTTATAAATATAGTAGTAATTTAAATAATAAAAATAAGAAAATATAATAAAAAAGTTATATAAATAATGTAATAATTTTGACAAAAAGCACGCGAAAGCAAAAGATCCAGCTGTGGAGTGGATATGTATGACTAAAAAACTGAAACTCTGAGACTTAATAATATACGATCCAGCTCAGCATATGCTGTCAACGATGCATAAAAATTCTTCAACTTCAACGGCTCCTAGGCTCTTTGCTTACCCAATTACAATAACACCCTCACCAACCAATAACATAAACAATCAGCGTTGATGAAAAAACGTTGTAAAACCACACTTATTGTGGGCGCTGACCAAGTCCAATCGTTGACTGATTGTGGTTAATCCATTTCATGGTATATTAGACACTCCCCAATTTCATTGCTATCACACACAGTCACTGAAACAGAGAAAGAACCAGTTCTGGCATGTCCAATTCGCAACCCACGGAGCATGATTCAACCGGTAGCGGGAACGAGAGGTCAAACTCTCTCTTAGCCAACGCGCGCTGCAGCTTCTGCTTCACCTGCTGTTTCGGTTCCCGGCGCCGTTCGGCCAGCGTCGGATTCGCGTGGTGGGAGCGCGTGCGGGCCACATCGTCGTCGTTGTCCGACTCGCACTCCGAAGCGCAACCGGCGATCGGGAGCCCCGGCGGCCGGCGCTGGTGGTCGCGCGGAGCCACCGCCCTCTTGAAGGTGCGCGAGTGGTCGGAGCTCGCCGCAGGGCCTCGGTGGAAGACCTTCATCCGACAGTTCAACAGGAGCCGGAGCTGCGGTTCGCGCCACGCGCCGGGGAAGTACCAGTACGACCCCTTGAGTTACGCCTTGAACTTCGACGAGGGGCATAACGGGGATTTCGACGATGATGGTTTCGACGGTTTACGGAATTTCTCCACCCGTTACGCCGCCGCTCCTCCGTTAAAGTCCGTTTCCACATATTCCAGTCAAGACGTCGTCGATTCAAGCTAGAAAAGAGATTGCGTGACTGCACTGATTATCCTGTGTGAAAATTTATTTTGAGACGTTAAAAGTGCAGATATTGTGTATTTTACTATAATATCATAGTTATAGCATTTTAGAAATTTTTTTATTGTATATTCATTCACAGTATTATTTTTAATTAATATTATTTGATACCTTTTTGAGGCATTATTTTCGGTATATACTTATATATATATATATATATATATATATATATATATATATATATATATATATATTTATATATATATTCATACTTATCCTTTGGCGATGGATGTCATGCACGTACTTTTCAATGGTTGATGACTTACTTGTACATGAGGCGCGTTGAAAAACCAGCACGAATGCGATGTGCCCATGGATTTATTATCAAAGGGGAATCTTCAGTATAACAATAAAAGTGTGCGGGTGTAACGTTAAGAGATTTAATAGATTTTAAAAGTTCTTTTTTCTTTTTTAAATTGACTTTCTTAATTAACTATGTATTTATTTTATTCATTTTTTAAACTTAGTTTTGGTTTTATATTTTGAAAATTTTAAAGTCTATATTAAATATATATATATATATATATATATTAATAATTTTGTGACGAATGAAAAATTATTATTAAATATGAAACTTAAAAATATGAAAAACTAAAATTACTTATTTTATGAAAAAACTTAAACATTTGGTGAAAATAAAAAATTATTATTAAATATTATAAGTTGAAAAAGTTAAAATATTAAATTTAATGAATATAATAATTTAAAGTAATTTTTTTAAAATTCAAGAATATATATATATATATATATATATATATATATATATATATATATATATATTTACGAAAGTCATATCAGTTTGTATTGTCTTTATATATTCTATCACTCATATTCATTCCTTTAAATCTCTACTAATTAATTTTTTAATTTATATATAGATAGATAAAGAATCTTTTATTTTAAAAATAAAAAAAATATTTTTCATTAGATTATCAGAATAAATTTCTGACTTTTTCTCCTCTTTTATATATATATATATATATATATATATATGATTTATATAATCTTAAAATGATATTTTTGACGCTCAAAATATACAAATTTTTTTTCATGTTAGTCCTTAAAAACATGTTCTTATTCAAATTAGTCGTTAATTATATAAATTAAATTGTACATTATCATGATATAACAAATAAATTATATTTTAATGAAGACATATAAAATTTATTTTAAATGACTAAAGTGATCATCACCTAAAATTCACTTTATATCCCTCATTTAAGAATTAAATTATTTACGTATCAAGTAAACAAGTTCATTTGACTTATATTATCAATTAATAACACATAAATTTGACGTAATAATAATAACAATGTAATGTGATACAATATTCCGAATTAAATTATAATTTACTTATAAATAAATATATATTCAGTATAAATATATAAATATAAATATATATAAATACAAATATATTTATATATTTTAATATATTTATATATTTTTTAATTATAAAAATAATTAAATATTTATTTTTAAATTATTTAATTTAACAAATTATTATAAATTAATTTAATTATGATTAAATTAAATTATTAAATAAAAAATATTTAATTTTTTAATTAGATGAATAATTAATTTATTAGAATAATAAGAGATATTATGTTGGTTGAAATTTAACTAATATAAAAAGTGCATTTACCCACGTATTATGTCAGTTATATAATAACTGACATAAAAAATTTATAAAATTATTACAAAAATATCACTATCCTATATATTATAACAGGTGGATTACGAGATGAAAAATTATCATAAAATCATTTTTTTTTACTAGTGGTCCATTTTCTTGTTGGAGGACTCATGATTTTGCTTGAAAAGAGTATCAATGATATATATATATATATATATATATATATATATATATATATATATATATATATATATATATATATATATATATATATATATATATATATATTTTTTTTAATTAAAAACATAAAGTGGGCATGACTGAATTCGGCTTTTAATTTTAAAGCCCAATTAGGGAACCACTTCTGACTCATGCTCCGTTTGAGACAGAACGTCCACTGTTGGTTGATACGATTAAATATATATTTTTTTCTAGAGAATATTTTTTTGTCAATGTTAGATGAGAAAAACATCCACTGACATCAATTGAAAGTTTGGTAGAAAAAACCGAATAACATCAACGGACGTAGTCAAGAAAAAAAAATATCGAAGTTAAAAATATTGATTAAAAAGTATTATTAACTTATATTTTAAAATTATAAAATAATGTTTGATATTAAAATAATTTTTTATTTGGTAATAGTTTATAAAAAAAATTCCATATATTTAAGTTATTTTTTTAACAAAATATTAAAAAAAATACGAATTTATATAATTTAAATTTAACATATTTAAATTTTTAAAAATAATAAATTTTTCAATCAAACGAGCATAAGATTTAAAAAATGTAAACATAATTTTAAAAATCTCTTTCGACTTTTGGAGTATAAATTAAAAACATCTTCGATGATAATCTCGTATTTAGAATCTTATATTACTTTTTGGTAAATCATTCTTAAAAAAATTTCTGATTTTTTTAATAATATATTTCATTTCAAGATCTTATATAGTTCTTTCAAGTTTAACGATAAATTATAATTAATAACTTTCAAAATATATTTTTAAATTATTAAATGAGTGTGTTACTTGAAACATAAAAAACACAAGTGAATTAAATGAGTTTGCACCATGTCCTAATTATTCAAAATGTGGGTTGATCATATGATAGCTAGAAACTACTGACAAAGGAATACCATATTCAAATAGTTTTGGTTTTTTTATTAAAGGATTTTTTTTTTAATTTACAAAAATAATGTTAATTTTTTTAAAATTATAAATTTATATAAGTCATGTTATCAAACACAACTATATGAAAAAAATCATATTTTTTAACACGATTTATTTCTTTTTCTTTTTTAAAAACAAAGAAGTCGTGTTATCGACTTCTATATAAATTTTATATTATTATAAATAGTAGTAATAATATGTTTTATATTATAAATATTAAAATAAATAATAATAATAATAATTTCATATATATAATTATTAAAATTATTTTTATTGATGCTATATTATTTTTAAAAATAAAATAAAAATAATATTATTAAAAATAATATAATTATAATTACTAAAATTATTTTAGTAATATTATTAATAATATAATAAATTCATAATAATATAATTATAATTACATAAAATAAAAATAATATTAATAATTAAACAATTATATTAACAATTATAATTCTTATATATTTATTATTATTATTATTTAATGATAATTTTTTTATTAATAATTAATAATTATTAATATTATTATAATTATTATTTATAAATCATAATAATTTTTTTATTAATAATCATTTATTATATAATAATAATTAAATTTACATATATAATTATATTAATAATTATTACATTAATAGTTATAATTCTCGTTATTATTATTATAATATTAATATTATTAAAATAAAATAATATAATAATAAATGATTATTAATAAAAGTAATAATATTATTAATAATTATATTATTATTAATAAAAATAATATTAAGAATAAGATAATTATATTAATAAATATAAGTTTATTATTATTATTATTATTTTAATAATAAAAAAATTAATAATGAATAATTATTAATAAAATTACATTATTATTAAATAATAGTAATAATAAAAAATATATAAATAATTATTAATTGACGTAATATATAAATAATAATAATAACAAATATATAATTATTAAAATAATTATTTTATTTTTAATATTATTTTTATTTAATATAGTTATAATTATTAATTTATTCTATTATTAGTAATAAAATTGACGTAATATTAGTTATTATAACTATATTATTTTTAATAATATTATTTTTATTTTATTATTAATAATATTATATAAATTTAAATAATAAAATAAATAATAATTTAAATTATTATTATTATTATTATTTAATTTAGTATTAATAATATAAAAATTTTATTATTAATTATAATATTATTATAATATAAAATTAGAATTCGTATTGATAATACATTTATTTGATTTTTTTTAAATTTAAATCATGTTATAAAGTATGAATTTTTTTATGTTGAATCATGTTTGATAGCATGATTTACTTAAATTTATAATTTTATAAAAATTTACACTGATAAATTTTTAAAAAATTACCCCTCTTTATTAAAAAAGCCAATAGTTTTCATATTAATTTTCGTGCCATGTTTCTGTTATATCATTTCAATAATAATTTATTATATGATAATCAATTATTTTTGTAAAAAAATTTACCTGCGGTTTGAATTTTCTCTAATCAAGGTTAATTGAATTTTTTCTTAGTTAACATTAAAAACAAAAAAAAGAATCATAATTAACTTTGTAAAAAAATTAACATTAGTGACATTAATTAATATATAATCTCTATAGATATTGCCAGAAAAATAACTATCACAAACTTTAATTCAAAAAATATAACTCACATCCACCAAAATAATTTGTGTTAATTTGTCAGATTTGTAGGTGATAGAAAATTAATCACTTCTTTTAGTTTCTACACCGAACATTAGTCTAATGATAACTTTTTCAGTACGTACGTGTGATGTTTCTAGTGGTAGAAAAAATAAAGTTTCAATGATTATCTTATCTAATCTTCTTATTGCTAAAAGAATCTAGATTCACAGATAATCTTATCCTGATCGTATTCTTATAATAATAAAAAATTAACATTTTTAGTAGTCACAAATTTAAAATATCTATTAGAGTTGAAATAAGATGTGTATGTTGGATGATACCAAGTTGAAAAAAATAATTTTTGGATACGAACATCAAAATACGCATAATCTTCATTTTTACAAGATAAAGAGGTATTAAAATTTGAAAGTATTTTTTTAATGGCCTATATTAAGTATAATAAATTATAAATTTTTAGAATAATAAA